CTATTGTAGCCTATAAATACACTAGGTCCCCGAACCTCTTGAACATGCTTTACACGTTTTTTTCTCCCCGAAGGGCTGGAGAAATTCGGCCTCTTCAAGCGAGAAAAGAAAGTTAGAGATTCTTCTTCGAAAGAAAATTCGGTTAGCACCGTAAGGTCTTAGAAGAAGATGATCAAGAGGTTTTGGAAAATCTAATAAATCGCTCCACCAAGATTTATTAGAGATCGTGTAAAGGTCATACAATAGAAGATTCGAAGGTTGTTGATTCGTATTCCGTTTGATATATTAAATTCGCGGTCAGGTTCTTTACCCATCCTCTAGGTTCCATTCTCACAACCATCGAGCTTGGTGCAGTGGCATGCGGCGCTGTCTTCTCCGTGCGGTGGTCGCGGGTTCGATCCTTCTCCTTGCCCAAATAGGAGACATTTTCTTTTTACCAGATGAAGAGAAAAATGCGCGGGCCGTGCGGCCCGCGTCCAGGCCCGTGCCTCTCACAGATCCAGCCCGCGCGCGGCCCGAGAAGCCCGATCCCAGCCCGCGTGTAATCCCAGCATGGCAGCGCATCTCCTTGGCCCAGATGTCCCTCCGCGTGGCCCAACTACCTTGTGCGCGGCCCAACTGCAGCATCACTACGACCCAACTCGTTGTTGGTGCAGCCCAGCGACTTTGAAACAAGCCCAGAAGCATCCAAGCGAGTCCAGCTTGACCGGAGTGAGCCCAGATAGCTGCCAGCAAGCCTAGAGCGAGGTTAGACCGGTCCAGGCGTGTCCAGCTCGCACCAGAACGGTTCAACTTGGTCCAGAAGCCCCGGTTCGAGTCCAAGATGGTTCCCAAGCGGTTCGAGCAGTCCGATTCACCTACCGAAGGTCCGCGACGATCCGATGAGCTTGATGAGCGATTGGAGCACCTTGACAACTCGATTAGAATCGAGAAAGGCCAAGTCTAGCTGCCCATTAGACTTTGGTGTTCAGACGATCTCCATCAACGGAAATCAGAAACGTCTCAGAGTCGGCAAAAATTTTTAAAACCGTAAGTCCTAATCCTAACTATAGATTCCGCTGTGTTAGGATTTATTATTCAATAGATTTGAATGTGCACATTGTCGACGTTCCTAATAGAACCCAACAGTCCTCTACCTCTTGAGGCGTCCTCGGGGACATCCTCTTAGATAGAGGTATTCCGTGCCGAAAGGGTAAACCCTTTCTTCGAATCCTGCATGTTGAAACGCTTTAGGACAATGCCTATGTATGTGGATTGGGATAGGCACAACTTTCTCTTCTCTCGGTCGCGAATGACCTTGATTCCGAGAACATGTCCTACTTCTCCCAAATCCTTCATATCAAACTGCTTGGATAACCATACCTTTACGTCTAATAACATCTTCACACTGTTTCCAATGAGAAGAATGTCATCTACGTACAACACTAAAAACACCACCACGTTTCCATCACTTTTTTTGTACACACAGTGCTCATCCGGACATT